CATAAGAGTATGTGTAGTGAAACTGGGATGACGTCAGCGCAGACTTCTTCAAGGGTAGATTCATCTGTGCTGGCCATAGCGAGAGGCCAGGTTTCACTGAGAAAGTCAGCGGTCACCAGCATCAAGCCGCTCCACTGATGGGCTTGCAGCCTAGAGAGACATGTCCGCCCAAATTGCAAGACATTTTATCTCTTAATCTGCCGGAAGTAATTAGTGATGTAACACAACAAGTGGTGGTGAACATTCCACCCAGGTGGGTCGATCGCTGATTAAAATAAAAGTAAGTAGGCAGTCTGTGGATGATTTTGTAGATATAGGTGTCAATGTATCATTAATAAAATTTAAAATGATAAAATCACAGCCAAGGAAGACTTAAAAAAAAATACCACGGGTGAGGTTAAAACCTGGGATCAGAGAGTCTCAAAACTCCAGACCGATGCGTTAGCTAACGCGTCGGTCTGGAGTTTTGAGACTCTCTGATCGCGGGGTTCTAGCTCCCCCCCCCTTCCTTGGTATGGTTTGTTTGCAATCGTGTCATTACGATTTCGTGAGTCAAGGAAGACTTATTAGTCCGTTTTACCTACGTGATAAAGCTTCATGTCTGGCTTTACCATTTGTCAATTATAGAGAACAAAAAGGCGCAGTACTGTGACTGGAACACTACACGAATAACCCGTACATAGGAAAGAGAAAAGTTTCCGACGACGTTTCTGTCCGACTTGGACCATTTACAATCACACTAACACTTTGTAAATGGTCCAAACGTCGTCGTAAGCTTTTCTTTCTCCTATATGCGGACTATTTGTGTATTGTCAGTTATACTTTACTTACCAAGGATTGTACTCCAACTTTGAGAGTTAAGAATCGAGACACCACCTTCCAAAGAATTGAGAGACCCTTTCTACATGTAATGAAGACTACGTTAATGCAGTTCAGTAAAGAAACATAGACGACAGGGACAGTGATGGGAATCTGACAGGGTACAAGCTTATTCCTAGTGAGTTTAATATCTTGACTATGCACACCATACCCATCCTGTGGGTGGTAGTCAAAAGATTACAGAGGTATATAATGGGTCCAGGGACTGAGCCACAAATTTTGATAACTGAACAAGTTACTGTGGTAATGATACATAAATAACCCAGACATATGAGAGAGGAGGAGCTTACGAGACGTTTCGGTCCGGCTTGCACCATTTAGTGTTAGCGTGACTTTGTAAATGGGCCAAGTCGGACTGAAACGTCGTCGTAAGCTCTTTTTCTCTTCTATGTGCGGGTTATTTGTGTATTATTCCACTCACGGTATTGTGCCTTCATGCCCTTTACATTGTAATGAACTATTTACATGTTTATATCTGGTAACATTTATAATGAAGTCTTTATGCTGACATGATTCCCAGTGTAGTATTCACTGGTGTTGATGGTAAACTAATTATCATACACTTCACCTTCACTTCATTGATTGTTGCTTTACAGGTCCCTCAATATTCACAGTAAATTCTGATTACTACGATTATATTTGTCCTTAGCGGGTACGGTGTACCCGGTTATAATGGATGAGGAATATTTATCAGGTTATTGTTTACTGTTCACAATATCGAAGTTCATAGTAAGGTACAATTATTTTCTTTTACAAGGCATTACAAGGTAACACAGTGTTGCCAAGACACAGTAACACAGTGTTGCCAAGACACAGTAACACAGTGTTGCCAAGACACAGTAACACAGTGTTGCCAAGACACAGTAACAGTGTTGCCAAGACACAGTAACACAGTGTTGCCAAGACACAGTAACACAGTGTGGGTGAGACACAGTAACACAGTGTGGGTGAGACACAGTAGCACAGTGTGGGTGAGAAACAGTAACACAGTGTGGGTGAGACACAGTAACACAGTGTGCGTGAGACACAGTAACACAGTGTGCGTGAGACACAGTAACACAGTGTGGGTGAGACACAGTAACACAGTGTGCGTGAGACACAGTAACACAGTGTGCGTGAGACACAGTAACACAGTGTGCGTGAGACACAGTAACACAGTGTGGGTGAGACAGTAACACAGTGTGGGTGAGACACAGTAACACAGTGTGGGTGAGACACAGTAACACAGTGTGGGTGAGACACAGTAACACAGTGTGGGTGAGACACAGTAACACAGTGTGGGTGAGACACAGTAACACAGTGTGGGTGAGACACAGTAACACAGTGCGGGTGAGACACAGTAACACAGTGTGGGTGAGACACAGTAACACAGTGTGGGCGAGACACAGTAACACAGTGTGGGTGAGACACAGTAACACAGTGTGCATGAGACACAGTAACACAGTGTGCATGAGACACGACACAGTAACACAGTGTGCATGAGACACAGTAACACTGTGGGTGAGACACAGTAACACAGTGTCGTAGCTTGAGGGTTGACACAACCTGGTGAATATTCTATTGGGGGATGGACCTCATGGAACGTCTTCCTCGGACGGAAGCAGACATACAAATACAGTGTAATTGACTCCTTTATTGATAACGTTTCGCCCACACAGTGATGTTTTTCAAGAAATAATAAAACCTAGATGATTAGGAGCAGCGTAGTGAGGCGCAGAGTCGGGTTAAGTGTCAGTATTTTCAGTCATTTTTCCAACTTTTTCCTCATTATTTCTCAACATGACGCACCCCAAGTCTTTAAATAAATTGTGATCCAAGGACACATACAGTCACCTCTGGGGACTGTGGAAACTCATCAAGAAACAGGTCCTGAGATCCAGTTAAATATACTGTCATTTTATCCTCACAGAAAAGCTGAGGTTGATGTGAAAATCTCTAAGTCGTTCTCAGGTGATGAAGGTGATGTGCTGTACTGGAACACCATAAAATTAATGAATTCAGAGACAACTCAGAAATTATCAAGAAATATCAGTTTTATCTACAGTGGTATATTACAGACCATTCTAGAAAATTACCCTGACTTTGCTCACTGTTAATAAAGCATTACATTGTGTGTGTGTGTGTGTGTGTGTTGTGTGTGTGTGTGTGTGTGTGTGTGCATTATCCAGTTCATATCTGCATAAATAATTCATTACGACTGTGACCAGATATAAACATGTAAATAGTTCATTACCACTGTAACTTGTTCAGCTATCAAAACTTTGGGGTCCAATCCCGGGACCCATTATGTACCTATGTAATGTTTTGACTACCACCCACAGGATGGGTATGGGGTGACTACCACCCACAGGATGGGTATGGGGTGACTACCACCCACAGGATGGGTATGGGGTGACTACCCCCCACAGGATGGGTATGGGGTGACTACCCCCCACAGGATGGGTACGGGGTGACTGCCACCCGCACCATGGGTATGGGGTGACTACCACCCACAGGATGGGTATGGTGTGCTTAATAAAGTTATTAAATCAAAAGAAAGCTGCAACGCCACAGGTGACAGAATTCCTGTTCGACAGTAGCGACTTGCAGAGAGGTTTATAAGAATGTTACAGGAGATAAATGGCAGAAAACACTAAGTGATATCATAGAGTCTAAATAACAAAAAAAGGCACAATACCGTGAGTGTGACTTTGTAAATGGTCCAAGTCGGACCGAAACGTCGTCGCAAACTCCTCTCTTCCATGTGCGGGTTATTTGTGTATTATAGAGCCTAGTGCGTCACCCTGGCTTTCTCCTGTAGTCTTAATCAAGAAGCCTGACAAAACGGTTAGGCGTATGGGACTCTAAATGAAGTGTTGACTGCTTACAGTTACGCTTTATGCTAATTCAGGAGATTTCAGACTCATTTGTTACTGTCAAATATTTGTTGACACTTGACGCCATGTCTGTGGCAACAGCAGACAACATTCTTAAGCCTGCGGCAAAAGCAGATAGTGTGAAGACAGCATTGTCAGAACTGTGTATGGCAGCAGCAGCAGTGTGAAGACAGCATTGTCAGAACTGTGTATGGCAGCAGCAACAGTGTGAAGACAGCATTGTCAGATCTGTGTATGGCAGCAGCAGCAGTGTGAAGACAGCATTGTCAGGTCTGTGGCGGCAGCAGCAGCAGCAGTGTGAAGACAGCATTGTCAGATCTGTGGCAGCAGCAGCAGTGTGAAGACAGCATTGTCAGATCTGTGGCAGCAGCAGCAGTGTGAAGACAGCATTGTCAGATCTGTGGCAGAAGCAGCAGTGTGAAGACAGCATTGTCAGAACTGTGTATGGCAGCAGCAGCAGTGTGAAGACAGCATTGTCAGATCTGTGGCAGCAGCAGCAATGTGAAGACAGCATTGGCAGATCTGTGGCAGCAGCAGCAGTGTGAAGACAGCATTGTCAGATCTGTGTATGGCAGCAGCAGCAGTGTGAAGACAGCATTGTCAGATCTGTGGCAGCAGCAGCAGTGTGAAGACAGCATTGTCAGATCTGTGGCAGCAGCAGCAGTGTGAAGACAGCATTGTCAGATCTGTGGCAGCAGCAGCAGTGTGAAGACAGCATTGTCAGATCTGTGGCAGCAGCAGCAGTGTGAAGACAACATTCTCAGATTATATACGACTATATCATTATAAGCATAACAGTATACAGTTCAAGACGAGGCTTAGCTGGTCCCAGAGAGCCACATATTTCATCTTGAGTACGCTCCTAAGTAGACATTATCTAACATCTTATTATAAAAGCTATCTTGCCAAATTAATTTCAACCTCATTGAGGCTTTTTTCCAAAATATTTTTTTTTCTATATTAATTTACCAACCATGTATGTACGTATATATTCTGTGCGAAAGACGCTATTGCATATTCTTTTGCAGTACAGTGAAAGGCGATTTTACATATCTTGTGACACTGTCCTACTGTAACGTGACGCTGTATACAAATAATTTCTTTTCTGCAGTATACAGATAATATAGTTTATGTACAATAAAATATTGTTAAGTACGAAAGGAAACCACTAGCATGCGGTGCATTTCGGGCAATATGACATGTACAATATGTCTTGTATCTCCATCTAACATGTTTTCCTTTCAGCATAAGTCAAAAACGTTGGGATCAGTCACAGGTACAATGGGACGCAGCAGCAGTCATGCACCGCTGGTTTGTTCAAGAGTGCGGAATTGTTTACACTGGTGAATGCGAAGTGTAGAAATCGTACGATTTTAATGAAAATCGACATTGAACTGTGGGGAGCCCAGTAATTACCTTTGGAAAGTAAGGCGACAAATGAAACCTGATTGTGTGGGAAGAGAGTAACAGACGTTGACACAGACATGTCACAGAGTTGCTGTCTGTGAAATCTTCCTATTTGAAAGCCTCTTACGTCAGTGGCACCGTGTGTTCTGTGTTAGAACTAATATTGGTGAGTGCTGGTAAGGTGATGTGTAGAGGGGGAGGAGAGGCATCGTCCTGGTGGCGGTGATGGTGATGGCTGGGGTGGTGGTGGTGCTGACGCGGGTGGTGGTGCTGAGGGATCAGGGCGGCGACCTGACGCTGCAGGAGTCCCGCCGGGTCTGAGGAGCCATCCCCTCGGGGCTCCAGCACCTCACTATCGCAGCCAGAATCAGTGGATGTGATAATGGCAGGGCTGTGTGGGTGCTGGAAGTTGTCCTCACACGGCCACTGCGATGGTTGCGGGTACAAGGTGTTGCTGCGGGGGGCTCTCAACCCGGGCGGGCAACCCTTCAAGCCAGACAAGCCGGCTCAACAGCGGGAGTTCCTGCCTCAGCCGGTCCTCATTAAGAAGGAAAAGAAAGATGAATCTAAATTTTCGCCAATCGAGACGCCCATCAGGCAGCTTCAGTCGTCTCCCTCCCAGCACCGCCGCCACTCCCACCCGTTCCACCTGACCACCGAGGCAGACAAGCCGCAGGAATCGCAGTCGCACAGCTTGCAGCGGCGGCACCCGCACGCCCTGCCGCAGTCTTCCGCTTACAACGTTCCGCTAGCAAGCGACCCGCCAGAGCTGTTGCAGCATCCGTGGGCGCAAGTGCCTGCGGCCTGTGCCAGCGGGGAGGCGAGTCACCCGTGCAGCAGATACAGTGAAGAGCGGCACGAACAGCAATGGGGCGGGTGTCGCTTGGGAGCCGCCTACCCACACCAGATGTTGCTCAGCACTATGCAGCCGCCCGAGGAACTACGAGCGCCTAGCCGGCCTCCGGTCCACCCGTCCCTCCAGCCTCTGGACGCCGTCCTTCAAGACATTCCACACATTCCCTCACTCCCCTCATCACCACGTCCAGGCCACAGACCGCCACCGTTCGAATTGAGTTCGTTCATACCACCGCTCTCCCCGAGTGTCTTCACAAAGAGCGAGGAGGGCGGCTTCTTCAGCGGGATTCTAGCTCTTGGACCTGCCTTGAACCTTCATACCCGCTACCACGCTCTCAGTCTAGCGAGGGCGTCATCCAGGTCCCATACTGACCTCAGGGAGACCACGCCCCTCTCCTCAGCCTCCACTTCCCCGAAGTCCTCCTCAGGGTCGAGGCCGAACTCCATGTATAACTCGTTCACCCTTCCGCCGCCTCCACCTCCTCCAAGAGCCAGGAGGTTCAGCGTCCGCAAACCTCAGGAGGTGGGGAGTCTTATGTAATCAACGCTGTTCTCTTTTTTTTTCTCGCACTCCAATCTCACTGTATTCTCCAGTCTCTACTCTCGTTCTTTATTGCTCTCTCTCTCTCTCTCTCTCTCTCTCTCCTCTCCTCTCTCTCTCTCTCTCTCTCTCTCTCTCTCTCTCTCTCTCTCTCTTCTCTCTCTCTCTCTCTCTCTCTCTCTTCCCCTTATCTGTCCCAGCATGTCCAGGAAACTCCACTTGCATCGCTACCTACTCCACTAATTTTCAAATTAGTTATCCAAGACCCATTGTAACTTTTAAAAAATCCCATTATAGGCTTTGTAGCATGCGTTACTAAATGTAATGATTTTTATTCCATCACAAATAAAAAAAAAATATATTCATTATAAATTTTCATTAATTTATTTTGTACTTGTGAATGTTTCTCGCTCAAGTTTGCGAAGTTCCTTCCAACCGCTGTTGTTTTCCTCGCTTTTTGGGAGCCTTGTGTTGTTTGTTGCTGCTGCTGTTGTTATTGTAGGTATTTTTTGTTCTTATTATTTCTTATCATTTCCAATAGTTAGGTTTAAGGTTTATAGATTAAATTTTCCTTTTAACTTTATTTTAAGACGAGAATTCTGCAAATTCTCAACATTTGATGTGAAAAATATTGATACTTCACAATGTTTTCAGAAAGTTTTATGTTTTTTAATATACACTAACATACATATATATATATATAGTGCCGAATAAGTAAAACTTGCTATTTTGGCTTAAAAAGCATGGCACTTCTTGCCGAATAAGGGAGACGAAAAATTGTGTATGCAATAATTTCGCAAAACTCATTCTGAACCTAACGAAAAAAATATATACGTATTTCATTGTGTTTGTTTATTAAATTATGGTAAACTTATCTAAAATATATTTAGTTAGATTAGGCTAAATTGAATTACGCTTGTTATAATAAGGTTAAGTAAGTTTTCTAAGGCTCTTTTGGTATAAAATTATTATTTTTTACATTAACATTAATGAATCTTTAAACGTATAAGAGAAAATTTTAGAAAGGATTTAATTTTAAATGATTTCTTACTAATTGCCCAATTTTATTTATACGGCACGATATATATGTTATTGTGATTGATTCTATATAGAGCAATTTCTTTTCAGAGTAACCGAAGTCAACCAGCCATCGGTCTGAAGCAGACACAGAAGGCCAGGGTAAGTACCACTTATATTTTAATGACTGAAGTACACACAGTAGTGGTGGATGAACATTGGAAAAAGCAAGGTGATGATTGTAACAAAAATTATAGGTAATATAAGATTGGAGGGAGGGAATATTGAGTAGGTGAATATGCTTAGATATTTTTGAGCGGACTTGTCAGTAGATAGGTCTGTGAAAGATGAGGTTATCCTCTCGTGACTGCAGTACACACAGTAGACCAGGGTAAGTACCAGTTATACTCTCGTGACTGAAGCACGCAAAAGACCTGGATAAGTGTCAGTCTCCCCTCTCATGTCGTTTTCTGTGTAAGTCGAAGCATCATAGAGAACGTTCTTATTCATGATACTGATGCATAACTAAGTTATTATTAATGACGAGATGATATTACAATAATAATGCGGATTATTAAGGTACAGTTTAAAAAATGTATGATTACCGTTGCCTTACTATGTAACACATGTATAAATTGCGTAGGATAACCGCCAAAAATGTCCAGGTGACTTATTTCCACTGGTGTGCTTATAGTACCTTATTATTAGCAGCCTCTTTATTAGATACAGCAAAAATTAATCAGGGTTACTAATAAAAAGAAAATCGAGTAAGTCAAATGCTTGACAGTGAACTACAGTAAGAATAGATACAGTTGGACTAAAATATAGTGAAAATCAAATACGTGAGAATAAATTACAGAATCGGCTGTAAGTTTATTCAGGTATAGGTATATATACTTGAGACATACATATAAAGTTACATAAATTATCATACATAGCAGCATATGTGTAGATTATCTAGGATAATCTAACAGTTACATGAATATTAACTGCACAAGAAATCACGTTTCTCTTTTTCTGTGACTTCACTAATTAGGTACTGTTTAGTTGTTTTTCTCTCCTGGGTTATGCTAAGACTGGTCTCGACATGGTCAGGCAGCCCCTCTCACTGTGTCATTACTATCTATAAGCCATGCATTATAATAATATAATACACGGCCTTTAACAGCAATGACATTACTGACATCATTCTTTCATTGCTGAGGTGTTTGAGACCTAACCACCTACTGTAAGTTTATTTAGGCACAAGTACACATACGTACAATTATCATACATACTGTAAATTACCTAGGATAACTCAGAACAGTCAGAGTGACTTATTTTCAGTAGGGTCCTTGTAGGGGCTATAAAATGGTGTTCGCCTCTTCTAGTGCCATATTGCTTTTCCTAACCTGAACAAAATTTGCAGTGAGACGTTCTGGACACTGTGAGCAATTTTGTCAATATGGTTGAGATTGACCTGTCCATCCTGTCCACAATAGTCATCATTTCCACTTGTAATTTCTCCAGGTTTACATGCTTTTATGAACCCAGATCTAGAATCTCCCCAACTTACACTGGGTAATTTGTAGTCTGTCTTGCCTTTTTTATTATTAGAGCAGGGTACCATTAAGCACAAGAATAATGTACATGACATTGTACGAGTCCTGTGGCTCGTTTGGTAGTGCATTTAGTTCACATACTGAGTGTCCGTGGTTCGATCCCCGGCATGGGTGGAAATGTTAGGCATGTTTCCTTGCACCTTCTTCCCCTCTTCACCTAAGAGTAAGTAGGTACCTGGGTGTTAGTCGACTGCTGTGGGTGGCATCCTGAAGGACAAGATGTAAAGAACCACAGGGGAAATAAGACACAGCCCTCGACGACTCGCTGGGTTATCCTGGGTGGCTAACCCTCCCCCGGGTTATCCTGGGTGGCTAACCCTCCCCCGGGTTATCCTGGGTGGCTAACCCTCCCCCGGGTAATCCTGGGTGGTTAACCCTCCTCCCGGGTTATCCTGGGTGGCTTACCCTCCCCCGGGTTATACTGGGTGGCTAACCTTCCCCCGGGTTAAAAATTTCGACAAAATCTTATCTTAGGAGAACTAGACTTAAGAGTGGTGTCAGCATCAGTAGGTAAGTACTGTGCCTGTATCTACAGGAACCTCAATCTTACCTATGCTTTCTCTACTACATTGTTCACTATCAGTTTTGATAACCCAGTGGCTAACGCGTCGGTCTGGAGTTTATGACTCTCTGATCGCGGGTTCTAACCCCACCCGTGGTATGGTTTGGTATACCTAAGTATTCCACATAATAATCTATTCTGGTAAATTTACAAATATATTACGTATAGTAGTATATACTTTTTGAGGCACAATGTTATATACCCCAAGAGGATATGCCTGTATATTCATTGTATATACACAGGTGTAGTTCTCAGGGTATATACACAGAGAAGTTTAATCCCTATGTTAAGTTCTAAAATATTCTTGACTGGTGGTACAAAGGTTACTTGCAGCCTTAATGACCCTCGTGTAGTCGAGAGTCATCAAACCTAATAAACCAACCAAGCATAAACCCAGGTCAGTGTGACTTGTATTTTTAAAGATAAGACTGGTTGGTTTAATAGGTTTAAAACCTGTTGGCCACAAACGTCGATTTTTTACTTTAGTTAAATACGTTGACGCAAAAATATACATGTGATTATTTTACAGTGTTTTTTACGGTTTATTAACTACATATGCTTTAACAGATTATACATTTATACAGTGACCATTAAAACCATTGTGTAAGTGTATAATCACCTGTGATAGGCATATATTAGTGTATAATTTATAATTATCTCTTATAGATAAATATATAATATTAAGTGAAGGGATTCAGGGAAACCAGTTATTTTCATATAGTCGGACTTGAGTCCTGGAAATGGGAAGTACAATGCCTGCACTTTAAAGGAGGGGTTTGGGATATTGGCAGTTTGGAGGGATATGTTGTGTGTCTTTATATGTGTATGCTTCTGGACTGTTGTATTCTGAGCACCTCTGCAAAAACAGTGATAATGTGTGAGTGTGGTGAAAGTGTTGAATGATGATGAAAGTATTTTCTTTTTGGGGATTTTCTTTCTTTTTTTTTGGGTCACCCTGCCTCGGTGGGAAACGGCCGACTTGTTGAAAAAAAAAAAAAAGATAAATATATTATCGTATAATGTACAATGTATAATCATATGCACAAACAAACCGAACATAGGAGAGAGGAGCTAACGACAACGTTTCGCTCCGACTTGGACCATTTACAAAGTCACACTGTAGTGTGAATATGTAAATGGGTTGTGTATTGTTCCAGTCGCGGTATTGTGCCTTTTTGTTATTGATAATCATATCTTATAGGCATATATTATGTATAATCTCTTATAGGCAAATTATACCAAGAATGGGTGAAATGTGGTCTTAATGACCCTCTTGTAGTCGATAACCTTTAAACTAAATTAACCAATTCTTTTCCTGTTCATCCTGATTTTCTTCTTCCTAATCCTTTTCTTATCCTTCTGTTTATATTCTAAAGTTTTTTCCATGTTTCTTCTTTTTCTTTTTTTCTGTCTACTGCTTTTCCTCCACTTCTTATCCTACCTTACAATCTTATCCTTTTATTGTTTCCTCCCTTTTTTTTTTTACTTCCTCCTTTTCTTTTTCCTCTTCATCATTTTCTTCTAATTATTCTTTTCTCCTTCCTTCTTGACTTCTGCTTCGTTCTCATCCTTTTCTTTTCGTCCATTTCTTCTGCTTCCTCATTCTTCATCCACGACTACTACTTCCTCATTATCCTTCTCGTATCGGAAATTATAGGTGAGAGAGAGAGAGATGGGGGAGAGGTCCCATTAAGATGGTGGCAGGTCCCAGACCGCTTCAGAGGTCATCAGTATTACTAATAGCATCAACTAGTGTCGAATTCTATACATCTTGGGAGGCACCGTCTCATCTCCGTGGTCTTAATGGCACTTCAGAGTGCCACATCCTTAAGGGCCACACGCCATGCCTGCTTTTAACAAGCTATCATTATTATTTTTGTTATTATTACTAATAATATATTGTTATTATTACTCCTATTATTTTTATTATTATTATTATTATTATTATTATTATTATTATTGCATTAACTGAGAAGCCTTAAGTGTTTATAGTTCTTTGTCCAATACCAGTTATCCTACTTTACAATCTAGCACCTGATTACGTGTGTGTTTGGTAGTGGTGTTCAATGATAGGCTTCGGAGGCTCCTTACTTTATTTGGGTTCGTGGTACACAGGCAGTATGTTTAAGTGCCCAGGCCCGGAGGGCCATGCCCAGGAGAGAGTGACGAAGTAGACCTTGTTTACTGAGTTAAGTCGGCCTCCCGAGTGAGGGAAGGGTAGAGTTGTGCGTGCTGAGCATAGGGGTATGCCACTAGGTGTCAGTACCACAGTGCCGCGAAATATGAACCCAGCTGGGCATACACTAGCATCTCTTATCATACCTTGCAATCTAACACTTGTTATCATACCTTGCAATCTAACACTTATTATCCTACCTTGCAGTCTAACACCTGTTATCCTACCTTACACTCTAACACTACTTTAGGAACTTTCTGTCAGACTCAGACTGCCCGTCTAGTGGTATAATAGGTGTCTCTTATTGTATATCTTCCTCCTCGCTCATCCCCCACAGGGGCTGTGGCTCGACCCCGGCAACAACAAATGGGTAAGTAAAAGACCTCTCCCCCCCCCACTCCTGCAAACATACGTACCGTTTGTTCCCACTGTGTAACTATCGTATAGAATAGTGTAGCAACACACTGCTGGTGTTCCCACTGTGAAACATATACAATAGTGTAGCAACACACTGCTGTGTTTCCACTGTGTAACTATCATATAGAATAGTGTAGCAATACACTGTGGGTATTCTCACTCTGTAACTATCATATAGAATAGTGTAGCAACACACTGCTGGTGTTTCCACTGTGTAACTATCATATAGAATAGTGTAACAACACACTGCTGGTGTTCCCACTGTGTAGCTATCATGTATATATATATATATATATATATATATATATATATATATATATATATATATATATTATATATATATATATATATATATATTATATGTCGTGCCGAATAGGCTGAACTTGCGATCTTTGCTTAAATAGCA